TTTTTTTTGAATATCTGAGGGGACCCCGAGTGTCACAAGTTAGGTCGTGACAAAAATAGAAAATAAAATTATGAAAAATACTCGGGGTTCAATACTGACTCTCCAAATAATAAAATTAGATTCAGATTTTCGAGGCCTTCGATCCATATTTCAACACAAATTTTGACGTATGGAAATGTGATTAACGTATGATAATGAACTAATAAATCAATAATTATCAATTATATGCTTTACTTTATCTTATTTTACTTCATCTTACTTGTTTGGCAAAGTTAGAGATACTTCACTTTATTCGGTAAAGTAACGTCAAATACTTAACTTAACTTTACTTTATCAAGTAAAGATAAGAGAAGAAAGGAGAACAAAAGTAAGCCAGAACGAGCATTACGATAATCGTAAATTGTCGTTTACGACGGTGTATGCAATTGTGCGCCGTATGATTTATTACCGTATATGATTATGTTCCGTCTTATTACTTGCTTTCGGAATGACGACTGCATGTCGTCGTGTCGTATACGATGAAATACAGCTTATATACGACCATCGTAAACGATCGTATACCGTCGGAAACGATTTCATTGGTCATCGTATTGAAATAGGCATATCCTCAGCATAGAGACGGTGAGAGAACAACTTGCTGCCTCTCTCCCTGCTTCTTGTGCACCCAAGAGATATAGGTTTCTCCTAGTTTTAGCTTCTTTTCATGATAATTTGGTTATTATTTACAAACGTTTTATTTTAGGAACGTTTTGAATGTGTCAACTTTCTTCTTCAGTGCTACAATAAAATTAATTACACAGAAGACAACAAAATGACAATTATCAGTTCATTAATTTCCGTTATATTTCTTCTTATAATAAGAGTACGAAGAAGAAATACAGGACAAAATCAGTCAAAATGCATCTTTTCGGTAACGCTCTTACAAAAAACAAGAAGAGAGAAATGAATATACCGAAAATTGTCTTTTTGTTTTTTTTATTCAGTTTATTATATTGCAACACCAAAGAAGAAACGGATACTTTCAAAATTCTTGCAAAACAAAATACTAGTAAATAAAACGAAATTATTATGGAAGAGTAATTAAAACTTAACAAGAATACAATTTTCTTTCAACTAAACAAATAAAAATAGTTTATTTATTTATTTAAACTCTTGTCAGTGAATACTTACCGTTAAGGTTATTGTTGAGATTAATGTAAATGAGAAAAAAAGAATTTGTTCAGATAAATATGCAATCTTACCTTTGAAATTGATTCTGATGTTATATAAATAAAAAAAATTAAACTTTTTTTCCTAAATAACAACGTACCTTCGAACTTATATTATGAGATTAAAGCAAATAAAAGAAATACTTCTATACGTAGATACTTAACCTTGGACATGTCATTGAGATAAACCTAAATAAAAAAGAAATTATATTTATTTAAATACTGCTTATCATTCAATATCTTATTGAGACAAATATAAAAAGTCAATGTTATTTATTTGTATATGCATTTAATACCTTCATGGAACTTTCTATATAACTGATTTTGAGTGTGGGTGTGGGTGTGGGTGTGAGTCTTATCTTCCATGAATACCCACACCCACACCCAGCCACTTAGTCACCCACACCTTCCAGAAGTTCGCAATTTAATGCAGTTGAAGCTAAATTTCATAGTCAACCACATTTGATTCTACTCTGGTCTGTATTTCCGTTGATCCCAAAAGTGTGTTTGTTCAACGACATTTTCGAATTCCATGTATCACATACACATGCACAGTTTGAGAAAAATCTTCTATGAAACTGGTGAAACGGCTGCGAGTACGTTAAGGGCGCGGGCGTGAGTGTGGGTGAAGTTGTGGGATGGATGTCGGTGAGTGTGTAGGTGTTGCTGTGCGCGTGGGTGTGAATGTGGGTAAAGAAAGCAGCCTTATCCACACACACACACACCCACATACTAACATCCACCTACCCACACCCAACCACACCTCATCCAAGATAGTGACTCCTATTTTACTCATAGTTTGATCTGTCTGACCAATTTTTTTTTTCTTTTTAGATTCATCGCATCCAATACAATGTAAGTAAGTCTATCTTTGTACTTTAACTATTCTTCTATTTTAGTTTCAAAGCGTTAAAAGGGGGTTTTCGTTACGGGGAAATAGTGGGTTATTCACACAAGTAACGTTCATCGGATTCCGATTCACTCGTCCCTAGACTGAAACACGATGACATGTGATATGACTAGATATGAAGATGAGACTATCAAAGAGTACATCTCTGACCGAAATAAAAAAATGTGCTACAAGGAAAAAGCCGAGTGTTTTTGAATTTCGTAATTAAAAATCAATTAACAGTAAAATCAGTTTAAAGTTCAGCAGGTGGAATTACAAAGAACAGAAATATACAGGGTTGGAAATAATATTATTCCAGGGGGAGGGAAGGGGGTAACGCTATAATTACGAATAGCAACCATAATGAATTTTATACCAAATGAAAGCCCGTAAAAAATGAGGTTTCCTGATACGAAATTGTAAGGGTTTTCAAGATATTTTCATACAATACATCTTCAAAAGTTACTATAGTTTACCGATATGAAATACGAAAAAGTCTTCTAAATAGCTGCTTCCAGGTGGACCGAACAATAGGACGTAAAAGGATCGTCCTATTTCTCAATCGAATCCACGTCTTATGATCGTTTAAACAAAGATCTTTTCGATTTTTCTACGGAAAATATCTGTTTTTCTTTGCTCTACAGTTCCCTGAAAATAGATTAGAACGAATGTATTCTACGAGATTGCGAAACTTTTGAAGGTTTATTATATGAAAATATCTTGAAAACCCTTACAATTTAGTATCAGGAAACCCCATTTTTTACGGGCTTTCATTTGGTATAAAATTCATTATGGTTGCTATTCGTAATTATAGCGTTACCCCTCCCCCCTGGAATAATATTATTTCCAACCCTGTAAATGTCTAAAAGTTGTAAAAAAAAAGAAATAATATTCATCGAATGAAGATTCACTTTATCGTATAGTGCAGATGGTTGAATATATTTGATTGACCGAAGAATTGGAGATTCTGAAACAAGAAATTTCGAAAGAACCAATTGTTAAGCTTTTGTAGTCGAAATTTTGGGCATCCATAGCATTCGCGAAAACTATCAAATCTCTCTACCGTTCATAGTTAGGATATCATTAACTGACAAACTGGAAAGCAATTTGGGTTTAAATATAGTGATGTTCCGTCTTTATGCATCAACAGCTTAAAAATATTAAGTAACGTCAATTTTATATACAGTATGAAAGTTATTCCTCATCTGAAGCATTATCTGGCGAGTATAAGCGGCTCAAAGCCGATGTGGGCGTAGCATTGTTTTGTAAAGAGGTCTGACAACCACGGCATACGACTATCAAACCAGTTGTCGTGTCGATCCCGCGTCGTCCTAATATTGCTCCATTCACGAGAACATCGAAACCAGAAAAAGTTTCTAACGATCGCCGAACATAGCCTATTTTAATTTAGAAAACGTTTCAAAATGATGATTTGCGATCAATATAGATTCTTACTAGTAAATCGTGAAAAAATCAATTTTCAGAACAGAATCGGGTATCTCTTCGCTCTGAGGTCGAAGACGATGAAGGTTCGGAAATGATCTGATAGTTAATTGTGACCAATTTTGAGTCATGATTTTATAGCCACATACAGTGCAGTTTCGGTTTATTGCCATATTTGAATCATTTCTCGCACGTGTTTTCACCCTACGAGCGAAAGAGAAAAGAAGAATGTTTGATAGAAAAAGCAAAGAAACTGTGAGTCTTACCGATGTTGATTACGATCACACTCTAATCTAATATTTCGTTCCGCATCAGTCTCGCGCGCTCGTAAGTTTTGTCGACGGTTCATTTCTTTCTCACGCTTCGCTGTAAGATGTTCTTTTCTCTCCTTTGCGTTTTCTTTTGCACGTTTGTTGGCTAGACGTTTCACTTCGTATTGGCTACGAGATGCAAGATGCTCCTGCTTTTCTTCATTTGTTTGATTGACATGAAGATTAGCCAGTCGCTGTTTTTTATATTGTCTATCAACAGCCAGTCGACTCTCTTTTTGTTCAGCAGTCTCTACGAGTGCACGACGGGCACGAAAAGCTCGCATTCGGTCCTTAGAAGTCGACATTTGGATATCTATTGACGGCAACTTTTTGGAGAATAAGACGCTGAACAAATACTATATAGAGAAGGTGATAGTGCACATCAATATCCAACTAAATTAGAAAATTTTCACATACTCTTCAATATTACTGGAAGAATTAAAGTCAGTAGAAGACGAGTTGGCACCGTTATTTCGTTGCAACTTCGTATTTCAAGTAAGCAAACTCAATGAAAATTAAACTATTTATGATAATAACATATTCTAAAGTGAAATTAAGAAAAGCGCGATAAAACACGAAAACGAAAAGCAAATCAGAGAAGATTGATATTTGAAAAAAAAAGAACATATACGATATTTCTTTCAAAGTTTGCTAGAAAAAATTGGCAAAAGATAAAACCGAGAATGTGACTACGAAATTCACCAAAACGATGAATTTACCTCGGAGAACAGGCCAAAATACTCAAGCGACCTTTGTCACTGATACAAACAAGGACGTCACCGATACAAACACAGACGTCACCGATACAAACACAGACGTCACCGATACAAACACAGACGTCACCGATACAAACACAGACGTCACCGATACAAACAAGGATGTCACCGATACAAACACAGACGTCACCGATACAAACAAAGACGTAACCGATCCAAACACAGAAAATTTAGGTTTCTAGACCCTATCCTTTCAGTCTAGGGAATAGGAAATCTTATCGGGTCTTACGGATTGATTATGTAAGCACCGGCTAGGAACCGTGTCAGATAGTTCGAGATCGCGCGCACACTTGAATACAATAGAGATGATGATGTAAAGCAATCGAATCACATTTACTGAAAAGCAAAGAAAAAATAGCATTCGCGTAGTGTTTTAAGTATTTGAGGCAATGTTAAATTTTTGCACTCGATGATTTCCGTAATCGACCACATAGAGATTGCCGTGTCGATCGAATGACAAACCCACGGGCCAATCCAGTTGATTCGGTTGTTCTCCTCTTCCGTTTCCACCAATAATGATGCTTCCTTGTGTAGCTCCTTTGGGCCAACGCATGATTCGCTCATTGTAATGATCAGTCACATAGACAGTGCCCAATTGATCGACAACGACTCCTCGAGGGGCTGATAACTGTGTAAGACCATCTCCTTCTCCTTGACCACCAGCCACGACAATGCCGTGTGTTGCATCTTTCAACCATTTCATCACACGATGATTCTCCCATTCAGATACGTACAATGAATAATCTCGATCGACGAATACATGTCGTGGGTAATTGAGTTGATCGAGACGATCTCCTTTTCCATTGCCACCTGCAACCACTGTTCCTTGAGATTCTCCTCTTCGATATCGTCTCACTTCATGTTTTCCACTGTTAACAACATAGAGAGATCCATTCTCATCCATTGTCAAGCCCCAACAATCAATGTTGGATATGATTGTTTCTCCAATTGTTCCATTTCGACGAGACCATCGAACCACTCTGTCATTCGAATAGTCACATATGATGAGGCTATCTGTCTCTTTGTCCACAATCACATCTCGTGGGTTAGACAATTGATGAGCTCCACTTCCTTGTCCATTTCCACCAGCAACCACTTGGCCAGTCGTCGCACCTCTTTTCCATTCCATAATACGATGATTGCGTTGATCAGTGACATAAATTGTTTGTTCGTCATCAATAAACAAAACCGCTGGTTCGCAGAGTTGATTAATTCCATTTCCTTCTCCATTTCCTCCAGCTACTGTAATACCATTTTGTTGCCATCGAGCATTTGGATGAATATCGATAGCACTTCCACGTAATGGCACAAAGGCTGCAGAAAGAAACATTTTTCGTTATATTCTATCTCCATAATGCTCAAGGTATTGCTTGAGATTTCTACTTGAAGGATGGAAGAATAGTAGCAGTTTCTTTCTGCTCTGAGCGCAGCTTCGATTCTTTAAAACATGTACACATACTGAATAGTCTGCTGTTGGAGAATTTCTAATGGGTTAGTTCTAAAAGACATAATATAATTATGCAAGGTTGAGTATAAATTGGTTTGACATTGACAACATATTCAAGAGCTTCAGAATAGTGCAAAACTCTTTTTAAACTAAATTTACTTAAAATGGATTAACAACAACTTAGATTGTTTCGCAGTGCCTTCTACTGGGTGATATTACTGTAAACGTTGTATCCGTATCATTCGGATTTTTTATTCAACTGTTACCGTGAAAAGTTCGTTTATTTTCTTATGAATCAGTGAACTATTTTGTTTTGACTCATTAACATTTTCTGTTGTTGGCTCTTCAAATTTTATCAAGCATTTGGAAAGGGTGTGGGTAGGTGTGGGTGTGGGTGTTTTACCTTTTATCACACACACCCACACCCACACCTACACCCTGTTAGCCTTCTTTTCAACCACACTCACACCTCTCTGTTTCCTGTTCTTACCCACATTCTATACCTGGTCTTACAGAGAATTCTGTCGCTTGAAGTGACCAACTACCTCATTTAAAATTCCTGTAAATCGACTCATAAAGCACATAACAGAATAGATAGTATAGAAGATACAATTGAAATTGTTTATGTGGTCATTTCAGATTTATAAAATCATAAATGAGTATCTCACTTAATTTGTAATATAGAAATTTTCTTTTTTTATCTTTTCAAACTTTTTTCGTTTTTGTAGCTTAACAGCATCAAATAAAATCGAATCCATGAATGTCAACAATAAAATTTGTTAAACTTTTGATTTATTTATTTGTCATTTGTTTAAATGATTTTAAAATTTCTAACAATATATGAGAGAAGGATAAATCAAGGGTACAACTCCATGTAAGGAAAGAGAGAGATGCAAAGATATTACTATTATTCTTTTTATGGATAACAGTATCGTACGAGACAATGACAAACTAATAACATCAGTACAAAGTACATATAGGAAAGAAAGAAGGATAGATGTATGGATAAACAGAAAGGGCATTGCGGTTATTTCTATCAAGGAAGAGCAGCAGCTTACACGTTGTGTTCGGTTGTTACACTGGGTACGAAGAGCGTCAAACACTTTACCGTCAAAAGATTAGAAAACATATCTACCATCCTCGCCATACTGAAATATAACTAGAAAAAACAATTTTGAGGGGCGTTCCCGTTCCTAGAAACGGAATGCTAGGTAACGAGGGACGCTGACATCCCTATCCCCGATCCACTAAATGTTTAATGAAGGAAGGAGACATTTGTTTGTGTGAAATCCTGTATTCTACGTTATCCATATCGTATCTTCGAATTACACGTATTTCTTGATGTACTTGATTTATTTGAATATTGTATCGATGTTAAATGAATCACTACTAAAGACTTTTTAGAGAATACACATCAATATGTTTCCATATATGTCGAGTCATCTCAGTTGATTTATATTTACTAAGGAACATGAATAAAAGACACGTAACAATCAAAATTTTCTCTTGATCTATTTTAACGATTTTTCTAAATGATCAATTTATTAATTTTCGATTAATTTTATGTTGCTCGACAATGGCATGTCTACTCTTTACCTAAAACTAAAAAGAAGCTCTTTGAGATTTTTTTTTGGTTAATACTATGATTTAAATACTTCAAAAAAGATGTTCAATAGTATTGAAGTATTTGACTTCGAGATTATTAGTATTCAGATGAAGATAGATTTGATTTTATAGCTGTCAAGAAAACGAACCAAACTTCGATAATGGCGACAACTAAATAACGTGGCGATTACTATTCTCTGGTTTTTACTTATAGTAAATATTAAATCATTCATGATATTAGACTATGTATCTTATTAATTTAACTTCTAGTTAGCCGCAGAGTAATATTACGAAGAAAGCAACTTATTTATCAAGGTCAAAAAACGTTAATACAATACTTACATGATTTTTGTGTAGTAGTTGTGCTTATAATAGTAGTTGTGGTTGCAGTTGCTGTTGCATTTGTAATTGTACCAGTCGTTGTAGTATTCATCGCTATTCATTATCATAGAAAATTTTGTTTATACAAATGAGATATTTTAGGTTTGATATGTCTTGCATATTTAATCTTTCATACAAAACGTCTGCGTTCATTAGAGAATGAAAAGTCAGTAAAATTTTTGATAATTCAATGCGATGTGATTCGATTGAATCAAATCAAAGTGAATTAAATTTTACTGAATCCATTGAGACTATCTAATATTCTGTTGTCATATCAACAGTGTGAATGAAATGAATTTCAAAGGATACTTGAAAGAAGATAATAGTAGTGTAATGATAAATTATTACGAACTCTCTCTTTGTCATTCATCTCTCCATTAGATAGTCTGAATTCCTATATTCTCATTTCCCGAAAAAATTCTCGTTGTAAGTGTTTTAGAGAGATAACTAAGTTTGTAATATTGTAAGATATAGAGAAACAATTTCCATACACATTTGAATTACTAATGTTCATCGCAGTTACTTTGATAGAAGGCTATTTAGCAAAATTCAATATTCACTAGAATCGGTCTAGGACACAAAGGAAACTGTGAATAAAGATGGGTATAATATATTAGAATTGATTTGTTTTGATCGGAATCCTAACATATGGCACGTTCTAAAGAATCTAATCACATAGATTGATCAAACGCTCAATTATTTTTTTTTTGGTTCTTCATATGTCCTTAAAGGTTTACGGCATATTGATACACTGCCAGATATAAGTGTAACAGATTATTCTTCAAATCAATGGATATGGTTCATGAGAACAAATGAAATCTTTTTGTTTCAATGATTATATTTCGATTTATCTGTGTTGTACTTCAGCTACTTCTTTTTCTAAAGGCTCATTAACTCTTCTCTACTACTTCTGCAATAAAATGAACTGCATACATGAGGATGGGTGGACGATGAAGAAATAATTTTAAAAGAATTTGTCTTTTACTTCAACGTCTAGATTACTGTTCATTTTCTTACTCGGCATTGGTGGGCACAGTCGCTGATTGAAACTTGGCACTGGATGACAAACAGGACGATTATGACAATGAGGATGATGAACACATCTGTGGTTAGGTTCATAACAAGTGTTATCTAAGTCTCCACATTCAACTAGCTCAGAACAATCAACAAATACATCGACACAGATACCAATATCAATAGCGCCTGCTATATGATAGCAGGCACACGCACTATTTGGTGAGCATCGATCGTATTGAGATATTCGATCACAGAATTGGGATTTTACTTGTACTAATGACATAAAATAATAGTAGAACATGTAAAACAAAACAAGAATCTAACCTGTAAAACTGAAAGGAGAGATTGTTCAACATTAGATGAATAGGAAACAAAAAAAGATGTTAGAATTACCCGAATAGGATGAATAAGAAACAACGAACTATTGTCGAAAGCATCATTTGTGTGGAGGTAAGACACAATAGCAACGGTATCTATCTTTATATATAAAGAAGTGACAATTTTTTTCATATTCACAAAAAAGTGAAGAAGCACACGACGTGATCTTTTGATAAATAGAAATTTGATATTGTTTCATTGCTTTCTTAAGCACTTGATTTAAGTCGAAAAAAGTAATCTTTCCAAAAGAAAAAAGCATCTTCAAAGCAATGTGAAATTGCTTCTGCAATATAACCACTTAATAGGCTAGTACCATCATTCAAAACATAAATATTATTATTGTCAATCGTCGTTTCACTATGTAATGATGACTTAGAGCAAGTTGAAGAGCAAATTATCTTTTTAATACTTATGTATCTAAGATGAGTACATTCGCGAAATTCGTAATTTAATGCAGTCGAAGCTAAATTTCATAGTCAACCACATTTGATTCTACTCTGGTCTATGCTTCCGTTGATCCCAAGAGTGTGTTTGTTCAACGGCCTCTTCGAATTCCATATTTCACGTAAACATGTGCAGTTTGAGAAAAATCTTCTATGAAAATAGTGACAGGGCTGCGAGTACATTAAGGGTGTGGATGTGGGTAAAGAAAAAATCCTTACCACACCCACACCCCTAGTATGTTTTATACATGCGTAAAAGAGCGAAAGAATACATCAGACACCGTCATCATAGAAAACCTATATTTTTCTATTTGTGGTATGATACTACTGAGTAACATAACGATTGATCCTGGTAGTGCTGAATCAACAATCTTCAATTTATCTTGAAAAACATGAATTGCAATGTCCATACTCAAAAAGCGACTTCCATGAAACAGACTTGAAAATTTATTGCTATAGTAACCATCGACATGGATGAATTCTGTAACAGTGCCAGTCGTTGCATTATCTGATGCGATTTTTAATATGTTGTAAAGGACAATGAGTTATGTACTTCCTGAAATTTTAGCCAAATCTGATCAGTTTATGAAGTGTACATGTCATAACGCGCACGAGTCTTTTTGATGGTTTTTAACCATTATTCATATATAATAAGACTAAAATCTCGATTGAGCGCGGCTGATGCGAGAATAAGGGTCAGGCCGAAAATTTTTATCACAAATATGTCCAGACGGATGCTGTCTATGGTAAAAATTTCTGACCTGGCTCTTGTTCTCGCAACAAACACACTCAGTCGAGATTTTAGTCTTATTTTATATGAAAAATATAGAACAACGCATGAATAACGGTTGAAAATTATCAAATAGACTCGTGCACATTTTGACATATACACTTCAAAAAGTGATCAAATTGGGCTGAAAATTTCAAGGGGTACATAACTAGATAGTGTCTCTCAATCCAAACCTACACTTATCTGGAGTCTTCACTCACTTTGCCACTTCTGGAAACGTGAACAATAAAACCTATTTTTATGGGCAATTGCAACGGTTTCACGAGTTTCTTGATATCATTCCTAATCAAACTGAAAAAATTATTCACTGTACAAACTCAGATGTTACTGTATATTATCTCGAAAAGCCATTCTTTGACATGGTTCGATGTGGCAAAGCATTGACGGGTCCACCGAGTGAATCATTAAAACACTTGCATCCTTTCCCTCTTCAAACTGCTATTTCCCTTCACTCGAGATTAAGCCTCGTTAAACAACTGAATGCTAGTGAGAAGGTAGGTTATGGAGGTACCTATACAACAACACAAACTAAATGGATCGGTACTGTACCTATAGGATATGCTAACGGATGGCATCAACAATTCAAAACAACTGACGTCCTCATTGAAGAAAAGCGATTGTCGATCGTCGGACGCATTGCTATGGATCAACTTATGATCGGTCTCGATAGAATGTATCCGGTTGGAACTCGCGTAACTTTTATTGGACAGCAAGGCAACGAAACAATTACTGGTGATGCAGTTGCTAAAGAGGCAAACGTACCAAAATCAGAAATATTTTGTTCCTTGTCGAACCGTGTGTCACGTATTTACAGACCATATGTTTCGATCAACAGTTCTGGATATACTTTCCTTCGGTCTATGAATCTATTAGTAGTACTATACTTTGCTTTTCCTTTACATATCACAAGTAGGATGTGAGTGGATGTGGGTGTGGTGGAGTAAGAGTACTGAATAGCCGCACCCAAACTCACATCCATACATCCTCGAATCAGAGAATCAACTAGGCATGCTTTGTGGCTAGTTTATTGAAAAAATAGCTTAATTTACTGAATAAATATATAATTAAAATTTTTCGTTTGTTCCTTTTCTTATTCGTCTGAATGTATCCTTGATGTAAAACTTCATTTTTCCAAAAATTAAATATTTTAGTTTCTTAAAAAATTAAAATATAATTTTAAACAATAGATGACGCTTTGGTTAATATTGAAATCCTTCTGATGATAGAAACAAAAAAAAACAGAGAAGTAAAAAATTGATAACAAGAATGTATAAATTATTTAGAAGATGAATAAGACGTAAAACTCTTTATTTTAAAAACAAATAAAAAGATATTCTAAGCAAATAAAGATCATTCAAAGTTGTTTACGAATATCGTCAAGTAAGTTATCAAAATTTTTTGAATCTTTTTTGACTAAATCAATGAGTTGTTTACGAGCTTTTTGAACTACACCATGCCATAATGATGAAAAGCCAGCAAATCGTGTCTCAAGTATAATGATAACAATGATTGAAATTAATATTTGATTGTCAATGTTTGGATTTGTTGATTGAAAAACTGAAAGAAACTTTCCTGTTAAATTCCTGACAATATCATCGTCTAAATTCCATAGGCCATTAAACTTTTGTGTGTTGATCAAATAACGAACAATATCTTGATCATTTGAAGGCCATACTTCATTATTTTGACTGATAGTTCTAGACTCACGTACTATATTTTCAGCATCTATGTGGATAGATTGCTTTTCTAATGATGAACAAACGTCCCCTCTACGTTCAGTGAATGAACGAAAAGATTCTTCCATAGGTGCAGAAAAATTAGAAGTGGCTGCACATGGCATTATCATATTCGATGCTCTCTTGTAATTGCATACAGTTGTTCTAGCTCCTCTGCCTCGAAAACCGCCGCCACCACCACCATACAAGAAGTGCAATCTCGATGGTGTAAATAAATGCTGATCATCAGCAGAAATTTCAATTGGTACTTCACGTAACACTATGTCAGCATTGCTTGCATTTGTTCGCTTCTCTATACCGATAAATGCTGTATGTGGACTTAAGATATTGTATTTCAATGATAATTCAATGATACGTTGTTTGGTTGTCTGTTCATCGGGAATCACTTCCATTTTTTCTTCGTCTGATGCTACCAGATTTTGAAACCGTGCTTGTGTCGAACCTGTTTTCAGTTTTTTGGCAGTTGATGATGGAAGTTTAGCATGTTGCAATTCTAGAATAAGTGCTTTAGCTGCTAAACGTGCAATTGTTTCATTATTAGCTACACTTGGTATTTGATTGACTTTTGCTATACCTATTGAACGATGATCGGGTTCAATTTGAAGTTCAACAGAAGAATTGTGATCAAATGGAATTGTTTTATCATTTGTAAGAGCATAAACAATAAGACGATCATTAAGATAAACAGGAGGTGATTGTTTTGGAGCAGTTTGAACAGTAACACCAAGATTCCAATTAACATGAATATTAGTAATACATGGTTGAAGAGCTCTCTGTAATTGTTCTCCAACATATACATCAACACTTGAATTTGGTGGAACGAAAACAAATCGACCATTAGTTGATCGAGCAAGACCTTTAACTAAAGATCGACTAGGTGATTTTCCCAAACCAAAAGAAAATATTCGAGTAGACAAAGCCATTGAACGACATAAATTGAGGACTTCTGTAACATTTGATATT